CACACTGAACCTCTTAGAAGAGAAAGTGGGTGGTACCCTTGAACGAATTTGTACAGGAGACAGCTTCCTGAACACAACACCACTAGCACAGACAGTGAGATCAACAATTAATAAATGGGACCTACTGAAACTGAGAAGCTTCTGTAAGGCAAAGGACACAATCAGCAAGACAAAAAGGCAGCCCACAGAATGGGAAAAAATATTCACTAACCCCACATCTGACAGAGGGTTGATCTCCAAAATTTACAAAGAACTCAAGAAGCAAGTCTCCAAAACATCAAAGGATCCAATTAAAAAGTGGGCTGCAGAACTAAATAGAGAATTTTCAATAGAGGAGTCTAAAATGGCTGAGAGGCACTTGAGAAAGTGCTCAACATCCTTAGCCATCTGGGAAATGCAAATCAAAACACCTCTGAGATACCATCTCACTCCTGTCAGAATGGCTAAAGTCAAAACCACCAACGACAATTTATGCTGGAGAGGTTGTGGTAAAAGGGTAACACTCCTCCATTGCTGGTGGGAGTGCCAACTTGTTCAGCCACTTTGGAAATCAGTATGGAGATTCCTCAGAAAATGGGAATAAACCTACCACAAGACCCAGCAACTCCACTCTTAGGCATATATCCAAAAGAGGCCCATTCATACAACAAGGATGTCTGTTCCACTATGTTCATAGCAGCATTATTTGTAATAGCTAGAGCCTGGAAGCAACCTAGATGTCCCTCACCCGAAGAGTGGATAGAGAAAATGTGGTACATTTACACAATGGAGTACTATTCAGCAGAAAAAACAATGGAATCCTGAGATTTGCAGGCAAATGGATGACACTAGGAGAAACCATCCTGAGTGAGGTATCCCAGTCACAAAAAGAGAAACACGGCATGTACTCTCTCATATATGGATTTTAGACATAGATCTGGGGAGTGCTAGCCTACAATCCCATGACCAGAGAGTCTGGGAAACAGAACCTTCATTCAGTGGCTGATGGAAGCAGAGGCAGACTCCCACGGCTAAGCACTGAGCTGAACCCAAGAAAGCCAGCAACAGAGAGGGAGGACTGATGACCAAAGGGATTGAGACTGGGCTGGTTTAACCCCCCAGAAACAGCTGACCTGACAAGGGTTAACTTTTGAATCCCAGGCTGATGCCTGGTAATCCAGCATGGGACTGATCAAGACCCCATGAGTGTGGGTGTCAGTGAGGAGGCCTAGGCAATCTATTGGGCCTTGGGCAGTAGATCAGTATTTATCCCGAGTATACAAATGGACTTTGGACTCCCATCCAACAATGTGAGATGCACTCTCACCCTGGACTCTTGGGGGAGGGTCTAGGCCCTGCCCTGGATGAAATGACAGACTATGGACAACCCCAAGGAGGGCCTCACCCTCCCTGGGGAAATGAGGGGATATTGGGGGGGTTTGGGGGAGGGCACGGGAGGAGGAGAGGGAAACGGAGAGGGTCCTGGAACTGACTTGTGAATCAACCTTGTTTCTAATTTAAATTTAAATTTAAAAATAAATTTTAAAAAATGTTACAAAAAAACTTTTCCTCAAATTGTCTTCTCAAAAGTTATCCCTGATCCCACAAGGTTTCAGTTTATATACCCACAGACACAATTAAATTCTCTGGCAATAAAAGGATACCAGGCACGCCGGGACCACAGATAAGATTTTAATAAAAGCAGGCACTTCAAGTCTCAGAGGAGATGTGGCCTGTAAAATGTCCGGGCAAAACTTAAGAGGTGCGGAAGGGTTAAAGGAAGTGAGGGGCCATGATTGCTGAGAAGGGAGAAGAGGTGTTAGTACATAAAACTACATTTGTTGGTTAGGTAATCGAGAAGTTTATAGCTGATACCTGTAGAAAAAGACTAAGGAAAGAGATGCAGTAACTCTGTGTTTTCTCCTCAATGGCTGTTGTTTTCACTTTCCCAGTACTTAAGCATCAGGACCACTTCACCAGGCAGGAATGAAAACAACAGAGCCCGGGGTCCAATGGCCTACTGACTCTGCCTCCTCCCTATACACACCACAGACTCGGCCTCTACTATCTAGATCATTGGTCCAGGGATGGCTGTGGGCTACGGGCTGTGGGCTGTGAGCTGTGGGCTGTGGGATGGACTGTCTCCCAGTACAGATACACACTAGCCCATGGGGCTCAAAAGGTCTCTGAGACAAATACAATATCTACACCCTCAGTCCCGAGTCAGGGACAGCAGACATCACAGTCAGGAGGGTGACACAGCTGGGGCCTTGGTTGTACTCCTGGTTGGCTTTGGAAAGATGGAAGAGCCAAAGTGTAAACTTGGGAACAGAAGGGAGTGACTTCTGACAGAGCATGACCGAGGAGGGAACGCAGGCTGAGCAACTGACAAATCAAGTTCTAGAAGGAAGGACAGACATGCACACACATCCCTGGCTAGCGAGAGGTCTGTGTAGAGCCACCACCCTAGTGGGCAACTGGGAAGATGGACTCACAGCACCCCAGAGTCCCTCCTCCATTCCTGGCCCTGCACCTTCATTGGCCCTGACAGCCCTGACTCATGGACAGCCCATGGACAGGCACTCAGCCTAAGAACCAATGATCCCTGTGTGACCCCGACCTCAGTTTTCCCTCTCGTATGAGAGGGGCAATGATTCCTACCTCTACAGAGTGTCTGGGGCATGCAATGCAATGTCATAAACACTGTGCAACCTGTGAGTGTCACTTGACTACTTTGTTGTGACTGAAGCACTCTGAGCAGGGGCTGCACAGATGGCCCACGGTTAACATGCTTATTGCTCCTGCAAGACCCAGGTTCCGTTTCCAGCACCCACATGGGCAGCTCATAGCTGCCTCAACTCAAGTTCCAGGTATCTGATGCCCCTTTCTGGCCTCCTCAGGCACTTCAGGCACATGAGATACACACAAATACATCCATTGAAAAAATCTAAAAACAACAACAACAAAACCCAGCCATATTGACCAAAAGCACCCTAGGGAGGAAAGGGCTTATTCGGCGTATGCCTCTAGGTCACCGTCCACCTTTGAAGGAAGTCGAGACAGGAGCTCATGTAAGGACTGAAGCAGAGACCACGTAGGAGTGCAGTCTGCTGGCTCGCCTGCTCACCGGCCTGTGCTGTTAGCCTTCTTATACAGCGCAGGACCTCTTGCCAAGGGAATGGTGTCTCCCACGGTGGACTGGACCCTCCTATATCAGCTAACAACCATGACGATCCCCAGAGACGTGTCCACAGGCCAATGTGACCAGGCCAGTCCCTTATTTGAGGCACGCTTCCCAGGAAGCTCTAGGCTGTGTCAAGTTGAGAATTAACGCTGTCAGCTTTCTTGACCTCCGAGTCTCCTCCCTTCTATGCTCACACTGCAGCTCTGTGATGGTGGCTGTACTAGTACTTTCCAGTTGCTGTGATAAAACACCATTGTTGGGGACCGGCTGGTCCTAGGCTTTCCCTGGGGCCCTGAGGTATGGAGAAGGAATGTACTTCCTTGTCTTACCCCAAGAACATGCTGGGCAAATCCAGTAATAGCCTGGGGCTGGATTCTTAGGGAAACTGTGACTTCACACCCTGGGAATCCAACTCTTCACCACCAAGGGGCTGTGGTCATCAGTCCCAAGGTCGCTATGTGTTCTCTCTGTGATACATGTGAGATATCTGTGTTAGTTTTGTGCAGCAATGCCTGGACACCCATGTTCAAAGCTCATCGTCTTGGCCAGAACGAGCAGGTGAAGGAACCCTGTGGTCACAGCTGTGTGCTCTCCAGAACTGTGTACAGTGTGGTACAGATGCCTGCCTTGGTCTGCTTACAGTGATGGGAGCTGTCAGGTCTGCCCTCAGGTCTGTCCTCTGACTGCTTGCTCCATCCTGGGAGGGGTGAGGAGACAGAAGTCACCTCAGCTGGTGAAAGTCACCTTCCCAAGGCCCAAAGTCCCTCCTAGACACCCTGCCTTGCCACAGACTGACTGACACTCGTATCTAAAGGCTTAGTTCCCCTCTGCCAACTTGGTCAAAGGCTCTCCCTGCCTCCCAGACCTCCTCACAAGGTGGCCTGGGCTTCCTCACGCCTGTAGTACTGTCCCTTTCCTCCCCAGAGTTTTTCACAGGTCCTGTGTCAATCTGGGTCAGCCCTGTCCTCTGGCATCCCGGCTGCTACAGGACATTGTCATTTAAAGGGGCTTCCCCATGACTGCAGTTTGTAAATTCTTTTCATTTACTGTTTGTTTGAGACAAGGTCTCATGTAGTCCTGGCTGAACTTGCTGTGCAGCCAAGGATAAACTTGACCTCACATCCTCCCTCCCCCCCAGGGCTAGGATTAGAGTCATGCACCCTCATGATTCTCTCCTTGCTTATCTGTTAACTATGAACAGCCTGTAGTTATTGATGCTTTCTGCAGCTCATGCAATGACCGTTTTATTTGTTTACTTTGGATTTTTCACATTTGAAGTCAGGGGCCACTTTGGGAGTTGGTTTTCTCCATCCACCGTGTGGGTCATGGAGCTCAAACCCAGGTCATCAGTCCTGGTGGCAAGTGTCCTTCCCTGCTGAGTCAGCTTCTGTCCTGAGACAGCTAATTCTGGCGTGTGTTTGATGAGTACAGCCTTTCAAATGATGCTCAGCAGTGAGTGTGACATGTTGGGGAGCTGGGCATGTGGGGTAACACGGGGTCTGGGGCTGCCCCTTCTCTTCCCTCCTCCTGAGCTCTCATCCTTCATACCCAGATTTGTGGTCTCCCACTCCTCAGGATGAATGTCCATCCCCTTCTCCTCACCCCCTCTAGTCCACAAGGAACGTTCTGGTTCCCAGGTGGGCTACTCAGCAAGGTTCTGACCCCTGTGGACAAGGTGGCCTTAGAGTTCTAGCCAGGTCTCCAGAGGGCCTCTGGCTCTGTCCCCTCCCCTCAGGGAGCCAGACTTGCATGGAGAACAGAAACTTGAGGCTAAAGAGGAAGTGGGGGCTTTCAGGTGGTGCTGAGGAGAAATGAGCACACTCTTACTTCACCATGGTTTCCTCCTGGGATTTCTCAGCTTTCCTCACGCTGGTCTTATGAGGCAGGGGACTACAGCATCTCCGTGAGCCTTTCTCTAGTTTCGTTCAGGAGCCTAGACACAAAGCCTGTGGCTGGAGATCCACAGGGCCACGCAGGCCTTGCTCCGTCTCCCTCTTGTCCACGGAGGCCTCTGCTCCCCCAGAAGGTCACCCCCACTGGCTGTGGTTGCTGCCTGGATCCTGCCCTGCCCTGGTCTCCTCTCCTCAGAGCATCCCTACCTCTTTCCCTGCTCCTCATCCCAGCTCAAGAAGAGGACCCATGGCCTGGGAGGCCACACACCTGCTATCCCCCATCCTGCTGGTGCTCCTGGCCTCAGGTGAGGACAGGGGACAAGGGTAGAGGGAAGGAACCAAGGAGAAGATAGGGAAGGTTTGGAGGTGTGCACAAATGATGCTCTGTGCTCGGGAGGGCAGAGCACATGGAGTGTTGTGGCCAGCGGCTGGCTCTAAGCCACATCCAGAGCACAGACAGAAAGAGGGTCGCTCCCTGAGAAGGGCACCCATCTGCTAGCCCTGCCGTGGAGGCTGGGGGCTCTCTGACCTGGAGGGTTTGTCTGTTCTCAGAGTCCTGGACCCAGGTTCTTCAAACAGTGGAGGACCAGACCATTTTTGTGAAATGCAAGTATGTTCCCAACCAACGCTTAAAGGAGAAGATCTTGTGTCAGAGAACACCAGAAAAAACTTGTAACATCTTAGTGTCGAGTCTAGGCAGAGCTGCTCAGCAACCACGATACTCCATCCGGGACCATCCTGAGTCTAATTTCTTCACTGTCACCATGACTGCACTGAGGATGAGAGACTCGGGTCTCTATCACTGTGGGATCCATGAAAACCACAGATCAAACATTATTCTCCAAAGCTTCCATCTGGTGGTGTCAAAAGGTGAGCGTCCCCCTTCTATGTGGCTCTCAGCCTTCCCAAGTCACAGGCTCCAGAGTTGGAGAGGACTCTAGGAACTGCTTCCTGTAGTAGCTGGAAGCTGGAGCACAGGGCAGAAAGCCCCCCCCCACTCTGCCAAGGCTGCCCGATGATTCAGGACAGAGCCAACCCTAGATCCTAGGCTTGCTGGTCTCTGGGCTGTTCTTACCAGTTACTCTTAACTCTGCTGCTGCTGCTGCTGCTGCTGCTGCTGCTGCTGCTGCTGCTGCTGCTGCTGCCAGAAATCTGTTTATTGAAGGTCCTTATTGCTCCCCCAAGCTGCTACAGGCATCCATTCCTGAACTGGGATTGGTATGTAAAATAAGATTGTTTTAAATTTAAATTTTTAAATTTTTAAAAAGGAAAGTAATTAAAGAAAATTGAAAAGGGGCTGGAAGAGATGGCGCACGCCTTTAATCCCAGCGCTAAGGAGGCAGAGTCAGGCAGACCTCTGATTTTGATGCCAGCCTCGTCTACAGAGAGAGCTCCAGGACAGCTCAGCTTAGGCAGTGAAGGAAAACGCAAAGCCCCAGCAAACAGCAGAACTTGGCAGCTTTGGTCATGTGGTTCTGGCTTTAGAGTCAAGGATACAAAAAAAGGGGTTATGAAATTTCCTTTTGTGACGAAGGAAAGCCACTAAGGCCAGGTGTGTGCCCGGGTGTCCCTGCACGGAGGCCTAGAGAGGCCATTGTATGAAGCTGTGATCATGAAGCCTGGGTTTTGTTGGAGACACCAAGATGTTAGCGATGCCTGAGGCATGGGATGCCTTCTGAGGAGAGCTGCTAACAAGGAGTGGAACCAGCCCAGCAGAGAGAAGTGTGCTGCAGTCATCCAAGCTAAAAGGAGTTGGAGATGTGAAGCGTGCTTTGACGTCAGAGATGCAGAATTGGGAGTTTGCCCAGACAGCTTTTGGTCTTTTTTTTCCTGTATTTCCTCACTAGGCTCCCTCTCCTCCCTTCTGGGATGGTAATGTGTATCTATGTCATTGTATATTACAAGTATATAGTAACGTGTTGTCTTTCCTGCCAGCTGCCTGGGCCCTGCTGAGCTGTCTGAACTCCCAAATAACACACAGGACACTATATTAATTATGAAGCTATTGGCCATTTGTTATTGTTTCTCATTGGCTAGCTCTGGTTTAATTATTGACCCATAATCACCAATATATATTTTTATAAGGACTTATCTTTCTGAGAACACAGACTTGCGTCCCCTCTTCCCGGGAATCATATGGCAATGCTCAGTTCACTACATTCCCCAGAATCCTGCTAGACTTCTAGTCCCACCTATCTTGCTTCCCTATTGGCCAACAGTGCTCTATTGACATATACAAAGAACTTCCCCCATCAGTATATGATAGGCTTTTTACTTTTATTTTATAGGGGTTACAGTTAAGGGATTGCCATGAATCTCTGGAGAGATTTTGAACTTGGGACTTTTAAACAGATCAAAGGTCAGTTGAAACCGATAGACTATGAGACTTCTGAAGTTGGACTGAATGCATTTCTGTATTATAGTGTGGCTATAAGCCTCTGGGGGCCAGGGAGTAGGATGTAGTGGTTTGAAAGAAAATGCCCCCATAGGTTCATAGCGAGTGACACTGTTGGGAGGTGTAGCCTTGTTGGAGTAGGTGTGGGCTTTTTGGAGGAAGTGTGTCCCTGAAGGGGGGCATTGAGGTTTTCAATGGTCAAGCGAGGCTTGTGTGGCTCCCTCCCTCTCCCCCTCCTCATCTCTCTCTCTCTCCCTGCCGCCTGCAGATCCAGATGTAGAACTCTCAGCTCCCTCTCCAGCACCGCATCTGCCCGCTCACCACCCTGCTTGCCCCTCTCACAGTAACGGGCTAAACCTCTGAACTGTAAGCCAGCCCCAATTAACCGCTTTCCTTTATAAGAGTTGCCATGGTCATGGTGTCTCTTCAGAGCAATGGACATCTTAACTAAGACACACAGAAGTGTGTTCAAACACAGTACGTGTAGGACTGGGGCATGGCTCAGCTGGTAGAGTGTTTGCCGTGCGTATGTGACTTCTATCCTGAGTTCTTTTCTCAGTTCTCACTTTAGAATAAGCCCTTCGTGCTGGCCTACACTAACAATGGACCTGGAGATGGGTGGATCCCTGGGCCCACTTGCCAACCAGCCTAGCCAAAGCAGTGAATTCAGACTAAAAAGTGAGAAACTCTGCCTCAAAAAGAGTAAGGTACCCTGAAGAATGACGCCTGAGGTTGACCTCTACCCTGCACATGCATGTACACCCAACACGCATGTATCCATATTCTCGTGACAATGAATACACAAACACAAGGATGGTTTACAAAGTTTGACTTCCGCAGTCCACATGTCATGCCTCTTACAGTTAAAAAACAATACAAGACACAACTTATCTGAATTTTAGGGAAACCATTTCTACAGAGCTCAGCTGTCCTCTCAGGCTTACTGAGTAGAAGCTACCAGAGGCTAGAAAGAGAGAGAGCTACCTACAAGCTAGGTCGGGCAAGGATGCTTTGTGGCTCAGGATTGCTAGTAGCCTGGCTTTCTCCCAGAATCTTCATCTGAGGCCCACTGCAGGCCAGTGGTAAGTAGGGGCTCCTATACATTAATTCCCCATGGGTATCAGGGTTAGGTAAAAGAGAGCAGTGAACTTGGAATATAATTGGTTCCCATTTCCCAAATCTCTACTTAGAAGTCATGTTCTTAGGAAGCCTCTAGTAATCTACTCCTCATCCCAAGATGCCCTTGGTGGCCCCCATGGCTTCTAAAGTGTGCATCTCAGATCTTGCTGTGGGCATGAACCACCCGAAGTCACCCTGGGCTCAGTAGACCTGAAGTGGCACTTGCTGATGAGGAACAAGTGTCTAGGGGACCAGTGTGCTTACAAGTGTGCTCTCTGGATTTCTGAATTCACTGAGGTGGAGCTGGTGCCTTGCTGGGCTCTACATCCCCAGGGAGTAATCGTGGATGACCAAGGACGGCAAAGAAAAGAGAGGCAGGCCTCCCTTCCTACACCCAGGAGAGCCTGTGCCAAGCCCAAGCTGGACTCAGACGCAAGGCACCAGTAAAGGACACCTTGTAGCGTGACGAGGCTTACAGAGGCGGGGAGGACAGCGTGAGGGGAGGACGGGGCAGATGGAGAGGAGGACAGCAGCAGACAAGAGCATCTCCATAACTCGGACAGCCCGGGAGTCTTCTTCACGCCTCTTTCCAGCCATCCTCCTCTTCTCCTTCTGTTCATTTCTTTCTGAGTCTGATTCAGGCTGACTTGACACTCGTTTGGATTTTAGTGAAAGAGAACCTTGAATGGCCGTGCCCATCCCCCCCTCAGCTTCATTTCTCTTCACCTACTCACCCATCCACCCAGCTATCGTCTATCGATCCACTCATCCATCCATTCTCTGTGTCTTCTTGCAGCCATTCCAAATTCTCCTGCTTCTGGCACGACTCTGACTTGGACAGGAACTGAAGTTCCCACCTCTAATACCACAAAGGACCTGAGCGCCATCTCTGCCAGGTATATATATAACCCAAGTCAGCTGTTGCTGTCCCCTCCCAAGATCCTGACCAATATGACAGGTCTTACCAATGTGTTTGCAGGCTGCTGGGCCCCTTGTTTGAATACTTTTTGTCCATAACCCACGTGCTGAGGGGATGTGGGGACAAGGATGGGGTGGGCTGGAGCAGGGGCAGACTCAGGTCTCCTCAGTCTGTGTGGAAATTCCCAGAGAGGTGACAGGTGGTGACTGACTGAGGAGGAGGCTCTTGTCCTCCCCAGCTCACCCCGTCCTCCCTGCTCATGCCGTCCTCCCCAGCTCATGCCGTCCTCCCCAGATCACCCCATCCTCCCCAGATCACCCATCCTCCCCAGCTCACCCTGTCCTCCCCTGCTCACCCTGTCCTCCCCTGCTCACCCATCCTCCCCTGCTCATCCATCTGCCCCAGCTCATCCCGTCCTCCCCTGCTCATCCATCTGCCCCAGCTCACCTTCTACTTTCCTTCACACCCGGGTAGTAAGAGGAGGAAATGGCATCTTTGGTGAAAAGTGTTAGCCCCACCAACCCAGAAGTGGGATGGTGTGTAAAATACTCTCAGTGAGCCAGGATTCTCACGGCAGGCAGACTGTGCGACTTCAGGCATGTCAGGAACCTCTGTAGCATAGGGACGCTGGACTGTCGGAGATGGATGGTGATCAAGCCCATGGGCTTGTTTTGTTTTGTCTGTTTTGTTTGACAAGATCTCACCGTGTAGCTTCAACTGGCCTGGAACTCTGTGTTGACCAGGATGACTGCAAACTCAGCAGAGATCCATCCACCTGCCTCTGCCTCCCAAGTGCTGGGATTAAAAGCATGCACTATCGTGCCTGGCTAGCCCCACAACAACTGCAATTTTGGCAATGACTCTCTAAAAATTTGCCTTCACTTTTGTCTTGTTTACTTAATTTGTTTTCTTTTTTTGTTCTTTTGTTTGATTTCAACACTGATGTGAGTACCCAACTATACGTTGATGGAGTGACAATTTCTGACATAAATTCTCAGCAGTTGTTGGTTTTAGCAATGCCAAGAAGGGAAATCAGAGCTTGCTATAGGTGTTTTCCCTCCAAGCTAGGTCTCCAGCCACTGGTCTCAGGGTTCTAGAGTAAGATTTTCAGGTTTTTAACAGGCATTTGTGTGAGCCAGCACACATCATTGTGACAAAACCTTGGGATAATCAGCTTGTAAAGATGAGAGGTGTCCAGTTTGGCTGTAAGTTCCAGGTTTCAATGCATGGTTTTTGAACCTGTGACAGGTGCGTGGAGGTAACAGCATATAGCAAAGCCCTTCCCCATAGCCAGGCTATGCAGATGAAAATAAAGGGGCCCCCGTTATCCCTTTGAGGATGGATGAGAGGTTAGATGGTGGACATGTGTATGGAGAGATGGTGGATGAATGGGCAGATGATGGAATGAATAAATGGTTGGAATAACTGATGGATACCCTCAATGACCTAAAGCTTCCCACTAAGCTCAGCCTACCTCATCGTCACGGTTACAATTTCATTCTGCATTGCATCTGCTTTAGTGATAATACTGTTCTCTTGGTGCTGAAGGTGGAACCCAGGGCCTCATGCAACCTTAGCCGGTGCTCTGAGCTGCACACTCAGACCCAGCAGGAATACTTTAAAATGTGAAACACGTATTCCAGCCTGCAGTACCACTGCCTCGTTTGTGCATATGAATCATCTGCAGATTGTGATATTCAGAAGATGGTTTGTATATGTGATAATACGCAGAGTGACATAAATGCCCATGGAAACAGTATTAATAATTTTAAAAATAAAAGAACAACCAGGCAATGGCGGCACACACTTTTAATCTAAGAACTGAGGAGGCAGATCTCTGAATTGAGGCCAGCCTGTTCTACAGAACAAGTTCCAGGACAGCAAGGGCTACACAAAGAAACCCTGTCTCGAAAAACAAAATCAAACAAAAATCGACTGGAGAGATGACTCAGCAGTTAAGACAACTTGGTGCCCTTGCAGAAACCCAGGTTCATTTCTGAATGGTCATATCAGGCAACTCACAATTACTTATAATCCCAGATCCAAGAAATCCAGTGCCCTTGTTTGGCTTCTGTGGCCACTGCAACCACAGACACAAACATACACATAGATACGATTATGTACACAAGAATAAAAATACAACTTTTAAAAAGCTAAAAGCAATATCAATGACTAATAATGAACAAATGGCCATGCTTTTCTGGCTCATGGGAAATTATAATTGTAGAGACTAGATACTGATGTTGAAGGACAATCTTAGCAAAGAAGATGATGCCATGTGAATAATTAGAATTAGTGCCATGCTAAGGTTTGGATCAGCATGAATAAAGATCAGGTTAGTCTATGAGGGAGCACATTAGATAAGTTGGAATGAAGGAAACAACTTCTTTCTCTGTAATTCAGCATTTAAATGAAGGCACATTCCAAGCCACACCAGTATTCAAAACTGTAAAGAGGGGCATGCATGCCAGCTACTGGGTCTAAGCGTTGCCTGCTGCTGAGCTTTGGATCCGATGTGTTCTGCAAGGGCCCAAATGTTGAAGGCTTGGTCAACCTGAGTGGCACTACTGGAAAGTAGCAGAAACTTTAGAAGGTTCTGTGCACTCTATGTGGCCTCTGTGTGATTCGATGTCACCCACTCCTTCTGTCTCCGTGTCCTATCATGTAGAGCACTCTGTCCTCACCTGCTTCTCTATCTGCCCAGGTCAGGCAAAGGGCTCTCTCTCTCTCTCTCTCTCTCTCTCTCTCTCTCTCTCTCTCTCTGTCTGTCTCTCTCTCTCTCTCTCTCTCTCTCTCTCTCTCTCTCTCTCTCTCTCTCTCTCTCTCTCTCTCTCTCTCTCTCTCTCTCTCTCTCTCTCTCTCTCTCTCTCTCTCTCTCCTGTGGGGGTCTCTTTCTTATGTCTACTGCTGTCTACCTGGAACTTGGAGAATCACTTTGCTAAAATCATCACAACTCTGCGATGGGATTTTCAGTAAGGTTAGCTTCTTCTTGGTTTCTGGATGGGGACAATGAGGCTAAGGTAGGACAAGTGTCCCCAGAAGCAGGTCAGAGAGCTGGCAACAGGGGCCAGGTCCCCTAGATATGGGGCTCCCTGACTCCACAGAGAAGGCTAAGATGCCTGAGTGAACCCTCCTCCTTTGTTCATCCCCTGGACCTGAGCTCGTGACTCTCCACCAGACACATTTCTAACTGGATACTCTAGGAAGCGACCATATAAACTGCATTGGACTTTCTCACAGGCCATGGGAAAGCTACAGGGAGGACCTAAGCTGCAAAGAATTCCCTAGACTGCCCTGTGAGTGGTCATTGTGTCATCCTTCAATCTCCTGTGTCCACAGGGTGTCCATATCCAGCATCGTTGTTCCCGTGGTCTGTGGACTCTTCAGTAAGATCCTGCTCTTCACAATCTTGTTTGTTGTCACTCAGAGGTCATTTGGATGCCACACAACAGTGACCTCTGACTTTCAGCCATGTCTGTCTCAGAGGAAGAACTTGGGGTGGGGGACTAAGGAGGGACTGTGACATGAACTGAACCTGTGATCATGGGTGACATCTAGGACTCAGTGTCCCCCTGCTGGCCCTGCCCACTCTCCTCAGTCCATCCATCACCTTGGGTGTGTGCCATGCACCCTCAGAAGACGGGAAACTGCACAGCACCCTGTGGCCATTGCACCTGAATAGACGTTGTCCTGAAATAAAGACAGAGCCCAGTGCTCCTGGTGTCACCTTCCATGGGAGTCGGGAGGGTTAGGGATCACCACTGCTATCCCTGCCCCTTGTCCTTCCCTTGGACAGTACAATTCTAGCCTCCTGGGCTGGGCCCTTGCTCATGAAGCAGCCTGCTCTCCCTGCCCCTGGGGCCTTCCTCTCCAGGAACCAGGCACTCACATTTGTCTTCATCTGTGGTCCTCTGAGCACCTCCAACCAAGGACCAAGAAGGCAAGATCCCACCTTGGAAGAGAGAATTCAAATTAAGCTGGATGCTGTCGTCTGGGAAACTCTTGGAGGAGGAGCTGGCATCTGCAGGATTGACCGGCACATGCATCAACACCTTGTGTGCCTTTTATCACTGACTCCTTGGTGCAGCCCATGAAGACCAAGGTGTGTGTGACCAGAGGAGGCCACAGGATAGTAGGCCACCACCTCCAGGCAGGCATGAAGTCTGGAGTTCCCTTGCTGAAGGGCTCCAAAGGCAGAGAGATGGAGAGCCAGGGCTCTGCTGCCAGCTGAATGCTTCTTCCTTGGCTGAGATGGGGCGGCCATGGAGGGTGGCAGGAGCCCATCCCAGCCTGGGGAGGCTGTTTCCGATGTGTCTGAACCTCTCTCTCCTCCTTACACCTCTCGGTCTCCTCCCAGGCGCCCTGTGGCCCTGATGCTGCTTCTGGGACACACAGTCATTTTCTTGTTTCCCATCTCTTTGGGCTCTAAGAACAAAGGGGCCCTGTGGGAGGGGAAAGGATGGTACATTAGCTCATTCTACTTCAGCAATGGCTGGGGACAACTTCATCCCAAAGTCCCAAGAGCAAGCACATCTCACCACACAGCATCCAGCTCACTTACCTCAGTCAGGAGGCTGAGAAGCCGCTGTTCCTCACCTCAGGAAAGCACCTTCCTGGCAGGGAGACTTCCCCTACTCTGTAAAGAGATCCCAATCCCTACACACGCTTCCATCACAGAGGGACGTTTCCCTGTACACATGGCTCTCTGTAGGATCCCACACTGACAAGGCACAGGGCGTTTCCAACCCCACAGGCTCATCTGTTGGGAGAGGCCTCGGTGGAACTCACTTTACCATGGTGCTCTGGCATGAGTCTTTGGAGGACTGATCCAGAAGGTGGTCATCTCAGTGTGTTTGCTTTCTGCCTAAAGAACCAAGCAGGAGGCCAAGGTGTACAGTGCTTACCACAGAAGCTTGAGGAGCTGAGTGCTATCCACAGAAACCATGTGAAAAACCTGGTTAGGATGCAGCAGGCTTTAATCCCACATCTTGAGAAGCAGAGATAGGTAAGTTTCCTAGGTTTTACTGATCAGAAATCTAGTGTACTTGGCAAGGTCGAGGCTAATGAGAGGCTGTGCCAGAAAACAAAGTGGATGGCTTGAGGAACATCATGTGCACTTTCACAGAAATGCCCACACACACATTCTTTAAAACACTGAGAGAAACTGAAGAAGACACCTCCTGTGCACACACATTGATAAGTTATGTGGTGAACATAGCCATTTGGCTAAAAGAAATCTACATATTGAATGTAGTTCCTGTCAAAATATCCAATTCAATTCTTCACATAAATTGGATAAAGAACCTGAAAATTCATATGAAAGCATGAAAGACCCTGCACAGCCAAAACAATCCTGAACAACAAAATCTCTGCCAGATGTATCACAGCCAAAACAATTCTGAACAACAAAACTCTGCCAGAGATATCACCGTTGCCGATAGCAAGTTATACTACAGAGCCGGAGTAGTAAAAACACCATGGTGCTGACACATAAACGGACGGATTCATTGTTCAGTAGAATAGACTCAAGGACCAGATGCAAGTCCACTCATCTCTCACCACTCAGCTTTTGACAAAGATGCCAAAAACATACACTCAAGAAAGGACAGCATCTTCAGAAAATGATGTTGGGAAAACCAGCTGTCTACGTGTAGAAGAATGAAACGACTCTTCTCTCACTCTTCACATCTGCAAATCAATCCCAAACAGATCAAAGATCTTGATATTAACACAAAACTCTGAAACTACTATAGGAAAGCATAGCATGAACACTACAGGATATAGGCTCAGGTAAGAACTCTGGATAGGTCCCTAGTCCAGGAAACTGTTGAGAGAATCTTCTTATAAACTGTGTGAAGATGCTTCTGTTTTACCTCACCCACCTTAGGCACCTTCTGATTGGTTTTAATAAAAGCTGAACATCCAATAGCTAGGCAAAGGAGGATCGGCAGGACTTCTGGGCAGAGACGGGAACTCTGGGAAGAGTCTGAGGAGCATGGCACTCACCAGCTAGACAGGGAAGAAGTCAGACATACGGCACTGAGGAGTAATGAGCTATGTGGCAGGGTGTAGGTTAGTAGAAACAGACTAATTTAAGTCTTAAGAGCTAGGTAGGAACAAGCCTAAGCTAAGGCTAAGCTTCCATAATTGATGAAGAGTCTCTGTGTTGTTATTTGGAAGCTGGCTATCCAAAGAAAGACCTACTACAGGAAACGGGACCAATAAGCAGCATGTGAGACCTTATGAAATTAAAGAGCTCCTTAACTGAAAAGGAAACTTAATCAACTGACGAGGCGTCCTACAGAATGGAAAGCTATCAATGCCGTTTATGTGTCTGACACAGGATTTCTGTCTAGAATATACAGAGAGCTACAAAGGTAACAAACAACCCAACTAAAAAGTGGAAAGTAGAACTAAGCAGAGAATTCCCCAGAGAAGTACAAATGGCTACAAAATACTTTTTAAGATTTTGTTTCCTTTTTTTTACTTTTTATTGATTCTTAATAATTTCACATCATTCATCCCAATCCCACTCACCTCCCCATTCCTCCATACGCAACTTCTGCCCCTGCAACTTCATCCTCAAAGAAAGCAAGAAAAAGAAAGATTTTTTTTAAAATCTCACCTTGGAAGCTGCAGTATGTCATGGTGTGTCACACAGTATACCCTTTTGCTCAAGCATCTTTAATTGCAAATGTTCATTGCAATGAGTCCGATTCCAGGCCTCTGGCTTCTGTGACACTATCCACATCCGATCCTCAGAAAGGACTCCTGTTAGATATCCTGATGTTGTCATCCGTCATGCTTTGGATCTACAGGACTAGACCATTCATGCACTATAGCAGTTCGTGGATGGGTCAGATGTTGGGGGAGGGACAACGCCTGGAACCGGACCTCGGTGGTAGCTAAGTTGAGGGTCCCCCACCCCGCCACCCCTGCACCTGTACCGCAAGGACCAGCTCTCCTGCTTTGCCCAGGTGAGGGGTGGGGCCGGTTCTCCTGCATTCACGCCCACACCCACACCACCAGAACCAGCTCTCACTGAGCTGCCTAGGTGAGGTCCAGGCCCCTGCCATCTGGGGTTCTGTAGCCAGCAAGGGGCAGGGCTTCTTTCCTGCTCTCAGGGCGTTCTCCAGTCTGCCATAGGCAGTGAGGGGCAGGCTGGGAGGACATTTTCCTGCACCGCCGCAAACAGCTGATGAGGTTCAAGCCTGCTCTCGTGCCCTCAGGGTCAGCTCTCCCACACTACCCAGGGGAGCGCGAGGACCAGCTCTGTACCGTCCTTGGGCGTCTACGCAGCCCCAGTTGGCACCCCAGGCCAGGGATGCCGACGTGGACTTTGGTGGTAACATGGGCCACAGACCCATATTGTCACAGGACCATGGGCACAGACACGGCCGAATGGGGCAACACGAGCAGGGACATCACCGTGACCTCGGGTGGCAGCGCAGGTCACTCGCATCAGGCTGTTCCTCCCCACCATCGTGTCTCCAGCTGTGCCTCTCCTCAAAGTGCACAACAGTCCCACATCGCTTTCTCTCCCACCTCTCCGTGACATTCCTGCCCGTCACGGCGGCGCTCGCCGTGTCTGTGCCGTGTGGCAGCAGGCAGGAGCCTCTCCAGGGCCTCATATCCGCCCGCGCCATGTGGTGATGGGCAGGAGGCCCCAAGATTTTGTTTTTATTTTCAGTTATGCGCCTGTGTCATCTGTGTGTCGGTGTGTGCTCATGAGTGCAGTGTCCATGGAGACCATAAGAAGGTGTTGCATTCCCTGGATCTGGAGTTTCGAGCAATTGTAAGATACCCAATGTGGATGCAGGAACTGAGCCTGGTCCTCTGTAAGAGCAGTGAGTGATCTTAACCACTGAGCCACCTCTTTCAGCCCAGGGCAAACTCCTTTTAAAGTGTTCAAAACCACCAGCTAGCAGTGAAACACAAATTAAATCTGTTGAGAGGTTTATCTTGGCCCAATCAGAATAGCTAAGATTAAGAAAACCAGTGTTGGGGAGGATGTGGGGAAAGGAACCTTCTTCACTCAGTATGGGGAGTGTCAGCTGGTGTTGTCACTGTGAAAATTAGTGCAGCTTCTCAAAAAAGCTGGCAGTGCCTGTGCCATGTGACCTAATTATGCCATTTCTGGATATGTACAAAAAAAGTAAACTGTAGAGACACAGGCTCTTCCATGCTCATCACGGCTCTATTCACAATAGCTAGGACACAGAAACAGCCTAGAAGTCCATCAACTGATGGGCAGTTAATAAAAATGCGGTGCCCATAAACAGTGAAATCTCAGTTACAGAGAAAAATGAATTGTTAAATTTTCAGGTAGATTGGTGGAACTAGAAAAAAATAATACCAGGTGAGGTAACCCAAGCCCAGAGAGACAAACGCTGAATGTTCTCTCTCATATGTGAATTGTATGTTTAGCTTGAAACATCTGTAGAAGTCAGGAAGCTGGAAAGCAGCCTGAAAGGGAGGGGAGATGATATGGGAAGGAAATTGTAGAACACGGGTTATGAAGGGAGACAGGAAGTAATGAGGGGGTTAGATAAAGAAGGGAGGGAGAGGTAACAAAGAGGATGGGGTGGGGTGAGCGTAACTAACACCAAAGATATCTGAAAACGCCATACTGAAACTATTGTATGAAGCATGCACATGTACACACACATTAAAGAGTTTACGTGGGCCGGGCGATGGTGGCTCACACCTTTAGCCCCAGCACTTAATAGACACAGGCAGGCTGGTCTCTGTGAGTTCGAGGCCAGCCTGGTCTGCAAAGTGAGTTCCAGGACAGCCAAGGCTACACAGAGAAACTCTATCTCCAAAACCCGAGAGAGAGAGAGAGAGAGAGAGAGAGAGAGAGAGAGAGAGAGAGAGAGAGAGAGAGAGAGAGAGATTAAATGGAGTTACCCTACATGGGGGCTAATGCTCTAAGGCCCTGTTGCTGAAGACATCACATACTTTGGTCACATGACTTGGAGAAATCAAGCTAGGACTTGCCTGGAAGTGTCCTCCCTGCTGGTAGCAGCCATAGTGCTGGAAAGCACTATCAGGTAGGTGCTGGGTGAGGGGAAGGGGTGTTCATCAGCAGTATCACTCATCTGTGAACCTGCAAGCTACAGTGCCAACGGCCCTGGTACGGCATGAGTGTTATGGAGGCAGCAATCGCTTTCTTATTGGATTCACGGCCCACTCCACCTAAGGAAATGCATGCCCAGTGCTGCAAATCTGGTCCAAAACCCGTGGCTGGGAGCTCATAAGTTTAAAGAGCGCTGTGGGTCAAACGGAGGACTGTAGGCAGGCGAGGCAGGCTACCCTTCTGTAGCCGACTTTCTCTGGGGCCACCAACCAGCTCCCAGTCATGACAGAGACTTGTTATTAGTTATGAATGCTTGGCTGTATCTTATGCTTGCTTCTTGCTAGCTCTTATAGCTTAATTTAACCTTTCTCGTCATTTATGTTTTGCCTCTGGGCTTTTTACCTTTCATTCTGTATATTCTATTCAGTGTCTGGCTGGACTGGTGGCCACCTGGCTGCCTAGCCTCAGGCATGGCCCTCTCTTTCTCCCTGTCTTTCTCCTTGTCTTTCTCCCTCATTCCCCCCTCTCTCCCCCACCCCAGCCTAGTTTCTTCCTCCTACTTATTCTCTCTGCCCCCCAGCCCCACCTATTCCTCTACTGCCCAGCTATTGGCTGTTCAGCTTTTTATTAGACCAATCAGGTGCCTTAGGCAGACAAGGTGAAACAAATATAATACATCTTTACATAGTTAAACAAATGCAGCAGGCCTTTACATAGTTAAAGTTACATTTGCAACAACCTTCCCTACCTCCTCAAAACAGACCCTGATTCGGCTCTCCACACTATCTTTCTGGAAGGATGGAATCTATTATTTTTACCCAGCAGTGCATGCAATTATCTTTTACCTAAAACCTTCCCTGCCTCCATTATCGCTATTCCGTTTTCATCACAAGGAGAATGATTTTGCATTCATTTTTAATAATTTCCATCTTAACTATATCTTATTAACATTGCTAAGATGCATTTCTCCTGGGGAAATTGCCTTCCCCTAGCTATCTCTCCTCTATTTCTATTGATATGTTTGTTTTATTGTATTGCTTAAAAGACTAGGTTTTTTCATGAAGTCTAACTACCTTTAATCTTCCAAATAGGAAAGAAACCTTTAATAATAATTATGATGTTTTTAAAATATATGCATCATATTTTTTGTAATGTCCAATTTTTAATCTGTGTAAAGTGTGAGCTATCATTTCTACTTGTATAGTTGTTGGCCCTAATAATTAGAAAGTTCTAGAGCTAGGGTTATAGCTATCTAGTAGACCACAAGCTTGACCTCCTTTCCAGGAGTGACCACCCATAGTGGGCCATCCCACATCAATTATTAATCAAGAAAATGCACCACAGACTTGCCCTCAGGCCAACTAATGGGGATAACTCCTCAACTGAGATTCCCTACTCCCAGATATGTCTAGGTTTACGTCACAGTGATAAAAACCAACCAGCATAGGGATCAAGAAAACATAATTACCTTTTTGGTTTGTGTGCTCTCATCTCCTCTCCTTAAATTTTTGTGGATTTATTTACTTTATAATGTGTAGGAGTGTACATATGTGCATGCCTTTGTGTCCTTGAAGATGGTTGAGGGATGTTTGTACACTGTGAGAAGATGTATCACTGTGATTGCTGTAATAAAAAACCTGAATGGTCAATGGCTAGACAAGAGGTATAGGCAGAACTTCCAGGCAGACAGAGAATGGAAGAAGAAGAAGAGCATGATTCATTTTTCTTTCTCTGTTGCTCTTTGGGGTCCCATCACCCAGCTCCCAAATAATCACACAGAAGTTTATTCTTACTTATGAATACCAGGCCTTAGCGTGACTTGTTTCTTGCCAGCTTTTCTTAAATTATGCCATCTATATTTTGCCTCTGGGCTTTTACCATTTTCTACTTCTGTATATCTTTTCTTCCCCTCTTATTCCATGTCTTGCTGTGTGGCTGGGTGCTTGGCCCTTGATTCCTCCTCCTCTCCTCTTTTTCTTGCTCCTTCTTGCCTTTTTCTCCTTCTATTTATTCTCTCTGCCTGGCAGCCCCTGCCTATCCCTTTCCTGCCTTACTATTGGCCATTCAGCTCTTTAGACCAATCGGGTGTTTTAGGCAGGAAAAGAAAAGCAGATTCACAGAGTTAAATAAATGCAACATAAAAGAATGTTGCTCATCTTTGCATCAAATATTCTACACCATAAACACATGCAACAAATCTTCAACTGATATTCCACAATAGAGGAGGATTGAGGCATACAGGGGATGACAAAAGACACAGAGAAGACTCAAGAGGGGCAAGATGGAAGAGAGGTAACATCACATGATAGAATGTAGACTAAAACAGATGAGTTAATTTAAGTTATGAGAGCTAGTTGAGATAAGCATAAGCTAAGGGCCAAGCTTTCATAATTATTAAGAAGTCTCCATGTAATTATTTGGGAGCTGGCTAGTGGGACAGAAAAAGACTTGTTACAAGAGATGATCCCCTGAATCAGTAGTTACAGATGGTTACAAGTTACCATGTGGATACTGACAACTGAACTCAGGTCCTCTGGCAAGGGCAACAGGTGCTTCTAACCAGTGAGCCAAGTCTCCAGCCAGATAAAACGAGTCCCTTTTCCCCCTCGTGCTGGGGGGTATCAAACCAGTTGAGGTGTTGTGCATGATAGGTAAATGCTCTGCCACTGAGGGGTACTCTGGCCCTTGCTTTCTTTTTTAAATTTATTTTATTTTCAATTGTGAGTATCCAGAAGACAGAGGCATATACACCTGTGAGTGTACAGGAGCTGGAGGAATCCAGAGGAGGGCATTGAATCCCTGGAGTTGGGGTTACAGACATGGGTTTTGGAGCTGAACTTGGGTCCTCTGCAAAAGCAGTACTCTCTCTTAACTACAGAACTGTCTCTCTGGGCCCCAGCACCTGAGTTTGGGGGTGGGCTGTTGTTTGATTTTATTTGTTTGGTTGGTTCTTTTTATTTGGTTTTTGTTTTTTTGAGACAGAATCTCACTATGTAGCCCAAGCTGGCCTTAAACCTGCAATACTCCTGCCTCAGCCTATCCAGTGTGGGGATCATACCATCACAGCTGGTGGCCTCCCTCTCTTGATACCTAGTTTTTATTTTTAAATTGATGAGACCACTTTAAGAACAAGTAAACACCGAAGATGTGATACCTCTCTTAGCAGATCTATATGGATAAAGGGGAAATGCATTTTAGTGAAAGACTAGAATTCTCATGGTGGCCGAGGATGACTTGGCCTTCTGACCCTCCTACCGCCTCCTGAGTGCTGCGGTTACAGGTGTGTGCCTCCGGGCCTAGTGTATACAGCACTGAAGTCTGAACCCAGGACTTTGTTGTGCTAGGCAAGTGGTCTACCAATTCGTCTATGCCTCCACTATGGATTTACATTTAATGTCTCATATTCATTTACATGCAGGTTCTCACAAATCCTCGCAAGGACTTGCAACGTAGGCGCTGCCTCTAACTGCAGTTCCGCAGATGGCAGAGTGACACTCAGGAGGCCTGATTGCTCACAGGTGTGCCCCTCAGGGCCCTCACTCTATCGGCCTGTGTGAACTGACTCAAGATGATCTGGGCCACACTAGCTAGCATGGTGCCTTGGGTTTGGCACTCTCTTTTGGTTTGGTTTGCTTCCCTGTTGCTATGGTAAAAGATGCTAACAAAAACAATTTAAGGAAGAAAGGGTTTGTTTTGGCTTATAGTTCCAGAAGGGTACAATCACCTTAGCAGAGAAGACACTGGAGCAGGAGGCTGGCTGGTCACATTGCATCTGCACTCAGGAGGCAGAGAAGGAACACAAAACCTCCAAGCCTGACTCCAGGAATCCAATTACTCTGAAGAAACTCCAACCCATAAGAGTTCCACAATGTTCTCAAAAGTGGGTTTCCCCGGGCCGCACCCGTTGGCCCTTACGTGACAGCAGCCTCAGCATGCAGAGAAGCTGGTGAGCAGGATCTCAGGTGGTGGTGAATGCATCGGTGTAAGCCACCCAGGAGACTGTGTCTGAGGAAACCAATGATCTGAAATGGCGGGGCTAGCTTGTACAGCCGGAGCCACCGGGGAGGGGTGAAATGAGGCCAAGGGAGGAAGCCCTCAGTGGAGGCAGGGGCTCTCCAAGCGGAGGCTCTGCCAGTCACATGACTTCTGAGAAGCCAGCTCTCTCTCGGGGAGGACACGGACGGCTGACTGACTTTGTTACGTCGTGGCCTTTGTCTCTGTGGAGTTCGGGTAGGCCCGGGCCTGATTTGGGTAGGGAGCAGCTCCACTCCTGCCGTGCTCTCTGAGAGATGTCTGGGCGTGTGGGCAACACCCTACCATCTGTCATCTGGCTTGGGAACCCACGCCCAAGCAGTATCACCAGCCGGGAACCAAGTGTGCAGACATGCTGGAAAGGGAGTGTGTCACATGAAAACCGCAATGCATGCTTGCCCTGGGGTCCTCCAGATGAATGACTGGAGGGTCGGAGAACAATGCTAACGGGTATTTGAACCCACAGGACACCGCTGGAGCCAGTAAGGCCGGCCCAGGCTGGTGTCAGGGCGCTCAGCGTCTTGGCAGAGCCTGGCTTGCTCTTTCTGCTTCCCTGCAGAAGCCTGTGTTGGCTTATCTGCGGCCCCAACGACCCCCTCAACAGCCCCTTTTCCAGGTTCCCTCCGGGGTGCCCACAGCTCTTGTTCTAACGTCATGTCCTGGGCCAAGTGTGTGCAAACCTCTCCTGCAGTCCTCGCTGGCACGCGGCTGCTCTCACAGAGCACAGGAAGGCCGCACCCTGCATCCTGTCCGGTAGCTGTCACACCCACACATCCTCCCGACCTCAGAGCTACTGTCCACTTTCTGACCGATTTCTCTCCCCCCTCTACCTCCATGACCATTTAAAACGTTGTTTAATGTAGTCTAAATGTTGTATTTAATACACAGGAATTCCCGAGTATATGCACATCAATACTTAGACAGACATTTCAGGTGTTGGTCGAAAGGTACAGCTTCGTTTAGACAGATGGATATGGTCAGGTGGCTTGCTACCACCTATAACCTTAGCTCTGGTGGTCTGACGCCCTCTTTTGGCCTCTATGGGCACCTACAGTCACAAGCGTATCTCCCCACACAGCCACACACACACACACACACACACACACACACACACAGAGAGAGAGAGAGAGAGAGAGAGAGAGAGAGAGAGACCAATGGTAAAATAAACCTTTAAAAAGACATTAATTCCAGATTCAAGTGTTCCATGTGGCCTCTTGGCTCTAAAAATCTAGTCTGGCTTTCCCACGGGAACTCCCTTGGCAGCCCACCTGATATCCTTGCTATGACCTCCTTTTGTCCATCCCTTTGCCCTTTCTCTGTCACCTCTGCTTCACAGAGGGGGACACTGCAGTGAATTTAGAGGCAAGTGCTTCTCACAAGGTCCAATTTCTAACTCAGATTTCCCCCTCCCACTCCCTAACAGACAGCTTGGCAGTGCCCTCGTGGCTTAACCGGGAGTGACATGCAGCCTCACCACCCATTTTAATACGAGCACATAGCTCTTTGTTGGTTTGGGGTTGGGGTTTGTTGTTGTTGTTTGTTTTGTTTTCTTATTGCTCTGAGGCAGATTCTTATGAAGCCCATGCTGGTCTCAAACTAAGTTATGCGTCCAAGTCTGCTCTTTCTGCCTCCACCTCCCAAGTGCTGAGATTACAAACCTTCGTCACCATGCTGGGTTAAACCCGCGGCTTCATGCACGCTAGGCAGGAACTCTTCCCACTGCCCCTCCCCCACTTCTATAAATCATATCCTTTTTAAAAAGCAAATTGTTAATGAAAAAGACTCAAGTCTTTCTTCTACTTGGGTCTATGTCTCTTGTGTGCACAGGCGACCGAGTTCACCATGCAAAAATGAGCCCGCCCTGGTCCCTGGAGTCCCCTCTGCCCCACCCTCCCACTGCCTCATCTGAGAACACCCCACTTCAGGGCTTTCCCCAAATGCCGTCACCTTTTCCAGGAGCCCTGCCTACGCGGCTCTGCCAGGACGCTCTCCTCTCCGTCCCCAGTGCTCACAAACTTCCCAAGATGGAAGCGTGACGTTGACCCAGCACTCAACCTGGCCATGCAGTCTCTGGTCACACCTAGAATCAATAAGTCTCGGGGTGCATGACCAGACTTCAAAGTGACTGGCCTTGCAGCTCAAATATCAAGTCATACCTCCTTGGTTCTAGAGGCAGGCAGACAGGCGTAGGCCTCCAAAAAAAAAGAGGCATACAGAAGGGAGAGAGGCCTGTGAGAAAGGCCAGGAGCTTGACCACAGTTTCCTCTGACTTAGAAGCTCCTCCCCTAAGGGAACCCATCGCAGAGGGTATCTGGGCAGGACAGCAAACATCTTCTACAGAGGCCTGGGGCCTGAGCAGTGCGGGGAGAGTCCTCTCGGACAGATCCATACCCACAGCTGGAGGCCACCACCCCTCCCTTCGCCGGGCCAGGCCTGGATCTTTCTAACTGACTCTTGTTGCTGAGGCACTGGAAGAGGCCCCCAGAGACAAGCCCCTCCACCCTGAGCTCTCTCTCCACCGTCCCGTGCCCTCCCATCGGCGGCAGGAAAAGGGCCTCATGGCCAGGAGGTCCCCACTGTCACCTCTGCTGCTGCTGCTGCTGCTTCTCCAAGGTAAGGAAGAGAGTGGAGCTTGTGTGTGTGTGGAGGGGGCGGTACGGCTGCCAGAGACCTGGGGGTGGGGGCAAATTCTATGCACGCCCTTGACCTTGTTCTCCAGAACACCCAAAGGTGCTGGCCGTGGCAGGGCAGACATTCTGTGAACTGCCCGTACCCGCCCATGAGTAGGGTCTATGGGAGGAAAAGATCATGCCAGGAGAGATCAGCTTTTATATGCACCAGGTTAGTCAGCGGCTCCATCTTGAGTCTCAGTCTGGGGTGAGCCCTGTGCTGGCTTCTTTATTGTAACCATGGATGGTGTGAGAGAGGAGCCCATGGGCTACTGGTGCACCATATACCACATACCATGATTCCGGCAACGCTATCATCCTGACCTCCAAATGTGACCTGGTGGTGTCTCCAGGTGAGCCCCTGTCCCCACGCTCCAGGGAAGAGCTTTGCTTCCTTTTGGCCCTCCAGGGAAGAGCTTTGCTTCCTTTTGGCTGCTTTCTAGTCACAGCTTTCTGGGAACAGGGCTCTGGGGACTCACATAGTTATACACACTCAGCCCCCTCAACTGCTCATGACGTCCAAGCCTGCAGCAGTGGCTTTCACGCTCAGACAGACCAGCTGACCATGCTGAGCCATCAGAACCACAGGGAGCCCAGGCCTCTTCCGTGCATCGCACACAGAGTAGACCCCCCATAAATGTGTGTTCAAGGTTGCCGAGAAACCCTCACCTAGGACATCCCATGGCAGTGTGAGCTTATTGGTGGGCCTTATACGAGGATGGGGTCTGTCCACTTCTCCTGGTCCAGATGCCGGTTAGCAAGCTAAAACCCTCAAAGTCAGGAGGATCTTCTGATCAGAAAAAAATCAGAGAAAGCAGTATTTTATCACATGTGTGTGTGTGTACATGAGTGCAGAAATGCATGTCATAACACATGTGTAGAAGTCAAAGGACAACTCATAAGAGTCAGTTCTCCCCTTCCTCCATGCAGAACTCAAGCCATCAGGCAACACCGCATTTACCAGCTAAGACATCTTGGCAACACTGAATTTACCAGCTAAGACATCTTGGCAACACTGCACTTACTAGCTAAGACACCCTGCTGGCCTGGGGAGGAGGGGGTGGTTTGTTTTGTTTTGTTTTGAGACAGGGTCTCACTCGCAGAGATCTGCCTGTCTCTGCCTCTCAAGCACTGGGATTAAAAGTGTGTGCCAGCACACCTAGAATAAAATAATTCTTTGTGACATGAGAATTAACATTTCAGTGCCTACTGGCTAAGTTTTAGTGGATAACAACTGTGGTTACTCATCCTCAAATTGTGGTTCTTTTCATACAGACACACACACACACACACAGAAAGAGAGACAGACAGACAGACAGACAGACAGATAGACAGACACACACACACACACACACACACACAGAAAGAGACAGACACAGAGAGAGAGAGAGACAGACATACACACACACACAGAGACCCCCCCACACACAGAGAAACAGGCAGACAGATAGACACACACACACAAGCACACAGACACACACACAAGAACACAGATACACACATACACACACACACACACACACACACACACACACACACACACAGGAGAAGTAGCAGAGACAAGGTGTGGCAACATAGCCCTGTAATCCAGCACTCAGAACGTGGAGACAGAAGGATAAGGGTTCAAATCCAGCGTGGGCTACATGAAACCCTGTCTCAAAACAAAGGAATGAATGCACAAATACATAATATATCCATATTTGAATACCTTAGTCTTACATGTCAATTTACCTAATATAAGAACCACCAGTAGCATCATAACTTTTAGGAGATAATGTACAAAGAAAATGTCAGAGGCAGGCAGGTCTCTGTGAGTTCAAGGCCAGCCTGGCCTACATAGTGAGTTCCAGGACAGCCAGAGGTACATAGTGAGACCCTGTTAAAAACAAAATATACAAAAACAAAAATCAATCAAAAAGCTAGACTGCAGGCATGGGTGGTGGTGCAGCTCACATCTCTGAGACAGTGGGGGCCTGGCTCCCCCTTTGCAGGCACATTAGTGGCTGAGCAGAACAGAGCTTTCCACTTGGACTTTGGCATGCAAGAGCAGGTGTCAATGGCTCATTTCTCTGTGAACACATGAGAGAGTGGCTTCAACACGCACTTATTTTCTTATTTATGTGCAGGGGTATGGGGGGGTTCGCATGCACATAGGTGCACATGCTTGCACATGTTTGTGGAAGCCAGACAGCAACCTCAGGTGTCATGCCTCAAAAGCCATCCACATTGCTTTTGAGATGAGGTCTCCTGCCAGAAACTGAGGTTCGCGGCTTAAGCTAAGATGCCTGGCCCATGCTGTGAGCATCAGGGAGCCTCCTGCCTCTGCCTCCCCAGTCCAGGAATTACAAGTGCATTCCACCACACCTAGTCTTTACATGGGTGCAGGGGCTCCAATGTCCGTCCGTCCGTCCGTCCGTCCGTGTGTGTGTGTGTGTGTGTGTGTGTGTGTGTGTGTCTGTGCGTCTGTCTGCGGGTACACGAGCACATGTGTGTATATGCATGTGTGTGGAGTGCAGCAGGTAACTTTGGATGTGGTTCCTCAAGTGATAGCCACCTCCCCCACAACATCTCTCACTGGCCTGGAACTTGCCACGTAGGCTAAGCTAACTGGCCAATGAGTCCCAGAGATCCATCTGCCTCTGCCTCTCCAGTACTGGGATTTAAGCACCCGCCAGGTGTTATTGTTGTTGTTGTTTTGTTTTTAGACATAGTGTGGTGGTGTGGATGAAAATACCCCCATAGACTCGTAGGGAGTGGTGCCATTTGTAAGAGTTAGGACACGTGGCCTTGATGGAGTAGGTGTGACCTTGTTAGGGCTGCGTCACTGGGGTGGGCTTTGAGGTTTCAGATGCTCAAGCCAGGCCCAGTGTCTCCCTCTTCCTGTTGTTTGCTGATCAAGACATAGAACTCTCAGCTACATCTGGTCCATGAGCAGGAGTCGGAGAGAGAGCTAACTGAGAATGGTGTAGACTACCTCAGGGCCACCTCCAGTGACACACCTCATTCAACAAGGCCACACCTCTTAATCCTTCCCAGACAGTTCCACCGACTGGGAACCAAACATTCAAATACATGAGCCTGTGAGGGCCAATCTCATTCAAAACACTACACTACCTTAGTTTCCCATGGGGGCCTGACTTCCCCATGGTCCAGGCGTGAGGACGGGCCAGACGGAGAGGTATAAAGGAATTCTGGTAGGAGACAAGAAGTCTTAACTTTGGTTAATGTTCCTGGCCCAAAGTCACATCGAATGGCCCACAAAATGACCTGTGTGACCTCATGGACGCACAGGCCGGGTCTCAAGTTCCAACCCTACTTTTACCTCTCTGAGACAACTGGCTGCTTTCCTACTGTGGGAAACCCCACCCACTAACCCAGGCCCCTTCTCTTCCCTGACAGCCTCTGCCCCCTCACAGATAGCCTGGGTGCCCCACAACCTCGACTTCTCACAGACACAGAGCTTTGTGTCCCAGAATGGAGGAGCCAATGCAGTCCCCGTAGCCACCGTCTCTACAGAGTGAGTTCCCAATAGAACCTGATCCATGCAAGCCTGTCATGGGGGCCGGCAGACAAGATCACCACTCAGTCCTGTCTTGTATTCCTGTTGTCCCTCCAGGCTGCAGAACTCCACGCTGGGCTCTGATCCTCCAGCCCTCAGCGCCCTGGTCCTGGTGTTCTGTGGCCTCCTGACCATCAAGTCCCTGATCCTGCTAGCTTTGCTCCACAGGTGCTTGGTGGGGGTTGGGCGGGAAGCAAAGGGAGCGGAGAACAGGTTCTGTCAGGGGTGAGGCAGAGCAGGAGTCTGCCAGAGAACAGAGGTGAGAAAGGTGTTGATAGCCTTTCAAGTCCAGTCCGAGGCCTTGCATCCCCCTGAAGACACATGCCTGCCTTAGCCCCTCACGGCAGGCAGGCAGGCATGTCCTCCACGCTCTGGTCCCCGCTCCCCCCCTTCACTATAACCAGGAAGCCCCTCCACTAGGGACTCCCTACAGATGACATCCTAAGTTCTGGATGAGGGAGCAGTAGCCATGGGAGGAATTGACTCACCGGCTTGGAGATGGGGGGAGGCATGTAGAGAATGGACACAGGGTTGGGTTAAAGGCGTGGGGTCACCTCTGGAAAGCAGTGAAGAGAGTTACGGCAGGCCAGGAGCAGTCTTACTGAGGGCGTGCCTGTGGGGAGAAACGCCTGTGGGTACCGAGAACAGGTATAACTGACCATCCATTTCTTCTTCATCCCAGGGTCTTAAGATCCCCGTGGGCTACACCAGTCCCAAGATGGGTGGCCTGTCTCCCTCAAGCCAGGACTCCCAGGAGCTCCTCCCTGACCTCTGAATGACATAACTCTTCAAGAAAAGGCCAGAACTTGCTCTAAAACCCAGGACTACACTGCTCAGTACAGACCTGAGCCCTCCCTAACATCATGTTATCAAGCTGACAACCTCAATAATAAAGAAAGAAAAAATGAATAGTGAAGACCAGTAACCGGAGATTTGTTCCATGTGGCCACATTGGGAAAAGGGACAAAGACATCCCTGAGTCCCCTGTGTCCATCTTTGAGATCCTAAAGTAAGATTAGAGTTTAAGTGGGGACAAAGATACGCACATCTAAGCAGCCCTGGTCATGTGTGGTCCGGCCCTCTATTGACGGTCGCTGGCTGAGCTTCAGTCTCACGCTACGAGGCCATCTGACTAGTTGAGAGGGCTTGTGAGCCCCTCCCAAGCCACAAGCCAGCCTCTTCCACCTCCCAGTACGGGGTTCCTGGGGATATTGCCACTTCTTGGGAGCCCGTTGTTTGAGCAGTCTGATCTGACAAACACCGAGAGACCTGCGCGTTTCTCTAGAGTGTCTTCATTCCTCTAATGCAGCCAGCACCTTCTAACTGTGGTATCAAACCCCAGGGCCCGCATCTCTCCACACCTGGAGTCATCAGTGGCCGGTGCGACCCCTCCTGAGGACTAAAGAGCTCTTATGCGGTATCGCGGAGTCGGCTGGGGGACTCGCGGGCGTACACAGAAGCACAGAGCAAACCACCCGGCCTCTTGTCGGTCAGTCCAGAGTGACGCTCAGCCGGGCCCACGTCCTCCACAGTGCACCCCTCCCCTCCCACCCCTGTTGTCCTTGTCACCACCACATGGTTGCAGGCTCTAGACCTTTCTATTGCCTCTCATTGGTATCTTGGCACAGCTGCCCGAATCCCAGGGGTCCTGGCTGGCTCTCCGCTCCCATGGGGTTATTCTATCTTTTTCTCTCTGATTCCTTTTACTCTCCTGATTCCTGTTCATTTTTCATTAATCTCAGGGGGCTGGGCCTGTTCTTTGTTTGTGGACACACGAGTATGGGTGCCTGCAGAGGCCAGGAAAGGGCAGCAGATCCCTAGAGTTGGGATTGCAATGTGGGTGCTGAGAACCAAACCCCAGTCCTCTGTGAGAGCAGCCTGTGCTCTCAACCACTGGGCCATCTCTCTGGCCCCTTTGTGTCCATGAGGTGGGGTCCTGGTAGCCCAGGCTAGCTTCCAACTTGCCATGTAACTGAGGCTTATCTTGAATTCCTGATCACCCTGCCTCACTGGGATTGTACGCAAGATCCATGCCGGGCTTTCAGCAGCGCCTTATGAAACCAGCCTTCACCCCCACACCAGCGTGTGCGATGCCTGTACGCCACCTTCATTTCTCAGAAAGTTCCATTTTACAGGGTGCCTATTTGGTTTGGACATTGCCACATCTTCTCTGGCAAGCTAAAATAATTTCTCTTTTGATGGGGGATGCTCTTCTGTCCACATGTTTCTCTTATTGGTTGATGAATAAAACACTTAGTGGCTAATAGCCAGGCAGGAACTATGGGTGGAGCTACCAGACAAGGAGAATGCTGGGTGGAGAGGAGGCGGAGAGAGGCCTCGAGGAGACAACATGTAGAGACCACCGTGAAGACAGGACGTGCCGGGTGTTCTCTGGTAAGATAAGGCCATGTAGAAATACATATTAGTAGTTATGGATCAGTTTTATAGTTAATATAGCATCTGTGTGTTTATCTGGGGCTGGAGGGTGGTAGGGCCTGGCGGGACAGAAGCTTCCATCTCCACTCCTTTTGTTTTGTTTTTGAGGCAGGATTTCATGCTGCTCAGGCTGGACCTGAACACCCTGCAAAGGCCACGTTGACCTTGAACAGATCTTCCGGCCTCCATTCTGGCTGCGGCAGTGACAGCTTGTGCTACAAACCTGGGTCTAAAGAGTTAGCCCTTGAACTGATTTTTAGCTTTTTTTTCTCTGCCTGCCTATTTGTCTTTTGTTTTCTCCTGTCCTCTGCCTCTGTCTTTCTTCAGAGCTTTCTAGAAATTCCTGCAGAGTCTCCACAGCTCACGGAGGGAAGGCAATGGTCTCTAGACTGTCCCATTCTTTCTCCTTGACAGCTCCGTTTCCACAGAGAAGGCTCGGTGACTGAGGGGTACGCCAGATTCAGGAGTCTAGGGGGATTAGAAAGGGTCTGTCCTCTCTGCCTCGGTAGTGTGTGGGGCTCCGAGGGAGTGCCTCTGAGGGGATTCTTCTGAGAGACTCGTCTCAAACTTTCCGAAGGGTGCAAGCCCTGACCTATAGTAGCCTCGGGAAGGTGGAACCCAGAGGCTGATCATGACGCGGCCCCGAGACTGTCCTCTGCCATCCAGCCCATGCCTGCGCTGCCTCTCGAGGCATCTGGGGCCTCCGCTCTCTCAGCCTGAGTGGGGGATGGGGCACTTCTAATGTCAAAATGATTTGCTTCATAGCCCTCCCGCCTTCTGGTCTGTGGAGTGATCTGATCGTTAGCCAACTTCAAACCATGAGCTGAGCATTCCTCAGCCTTGAGGAGAGAGGTCTCTACCTCAGTCTCCCCTCACTCCTGACCTCTGCCCCTTTTCAGCAGGAGTGGGGGGGTGCCACATTTACCTCAGAACACCCACCACCGGGAGCCCTCACCAAGGCCACAGGAGAGAATCCAGATCAGCACTCGACTCTGAGAGGCAGCCATCTTTCTTCTGCCCCGGCAGTCAGGGGTGACACGGGGTCCCCAGAGCAGCTGTTGACTCCTTCCATGTTCTCTCTGCTCACCCAGAGTCGCATCTCAGGGACACGAGTTCCTGAGGCTAGCCCCATTTCTGTTTGTCATAGTTACGGTTACCCCTGCTGCGATGAAACACCCTGACCAAAGCAACCTGGGGAGGAGAGGGCTTATCCAGCTCACGCTTCCACACTCAGCCATCACCAAAGGACGTCAGGACTCACGCGGGCCAGCTCACGCTTCCACACGCATCAATCATCAAAGGACGTCAGGACTCACGCGGGCCAGCTCACGCTTCCACACGCATCAATCATCAAAGGACGTCAGGACTCACGCGGGGCAGCTCATGCTTCCACACGCAGCCATCACCAAAGGACATCAGGACTCACACAGGGCAGGAACCTGGAGGCAGGGGCTGATGCAGAGGCCGTGGAGGGTGCTGCTCGCTGGCTTGCTCCCCATGGCTTGCTCAGCCTACTTTCCGATAGAACCCAGGACCGCCAGCCCAGCGATGGCACCGCCCACAGTGGCCTGGACTCACCCCCAGCCATGCCAATTAGGAAAATGCCCTACAGGTTTGAATACAGAGCATTTTCTCAGTTGAGGCTCCTCCTCTCTAATGACGATAGCTTGTGTCAGGTTGAGATAAAATTATCAGCACGTTACTATTTCCCTGGTCCATGAACTTTGCCCTCTCAAACAGGCAGCCCTCAGGACAGGCCACTGCCCCCCTCGCTTCTCTGGGAGCTTCCTCCTTGAGCTCACAGAGGACACTGCCTCTCTGCAGTCCTCGTGTGGTGTTTTGTTGAGTCCTTCTGTTTTGTTGTGTTGTGTGTGCGTGTGTGTGTGTGTGTGTGTGTGTGTGTGTGTATGTGCAGGTACACTCAGAAGTGCGGGTGTGTGTAACTGTGTGTGTGTGTGCAGGTAAACTCGGAAGTGTGGATGTGTGCAACTGTGTGTGTGCATGTGTGTGTATGTGTGTGTGTGCATGTGTGTGTACGTGCAGGTAAACTCGGAAGTGTGGGTGTGTGCAACTGTGTGTGTGTGCATGTGTGTATGTGTGTGTGCATGTGTGTGTGTGTATGTGCAGGTAAACTCGGAAGTGTGGGTGTGTGCAACTGTGTGTGTGTGCATGTGTGTGTGTATGTGCAGGTAAACTCGGAAGTGTGGGTGTGTGCAACTCTGTGTGTGTGTGTGTGTGTGTGTGTGTGTGTGTAAATCAGAAGGCGGCCTTGCCTATCGTTCCCCAGCTGCCATTCAGCTTGGTTTTTGAGTCTCTTGCTGACTAGGCTAGGCTGGCTGTCCAGAAAGCCCCAGTTGTCCACCTGTCCCTTGTCCCTTGTCCCCAGTGCTGGGATGGTAAAAATGCCACCACACACAGCTTTATTTTATGTGGGTTCCAGGGATCAAATCCAGGTCCCATGCTTCCAAGGCCAGCCTGTTACCAGCTGAGCCATCTCCTTTGCCTCGGGCCACCTGAGAGTGACAGTACACCTCATTGTCCCTGCCTGTCTGCCCTATGCACCATAGGTGACTTCTGTGTGGCACCAGCATCATTGCCCGCCCCCCCCCCCCCCGGTGCTACCCAGGTGCTCCTCATCCATCCTCAGTCTTGAACCTGGCTCTGTCCTCTTGCTGCTCCTGCTCTAGTCCTTGGTGACCTTGGGCCCATGTAGGCTCATGCACCATCCTCCCAAGTCCCTGGCCTCTCTGTCCCCTCTGCCATCTTCCTACCCTATCCCCCATTCAGAAGGCAGCATGAGTGACAGCACACTCCAACACCAGTCCGACCGCCTGATCCTTTTAACTACGGCCAAATGTCTCTTGAAGCCTGCTGACCCCGCTACCTCACTCATTCTGACCTTTTGTGTGAACTCTATGGCCCAACCCCAGAGACACTCCACAGTGTGTGCTCTCAATCCCTGGGCCCCTCTGCCCTTGCATTGAAGTTTCGGGTAAAGACTGGAAACATGGCTCCATGCTTGCCTAACCTTCATGAAGATCTGGGTTCGATCCCAAAAAGGAAGAAAAATCAGCACAGAAAAAAGTTATTTAATGTTACAAATTTATTATGCACACAAACAAATGACCCTTATGCCTGCATCCTGGGGCAGGGGGTACACTTAGCGGGAATTCTGGGAAAGATGACTGGCTTAGAGCGGGTGAGAGCCTGTAAGAGGGCACTTCTTGGCGTGATGTACACCTCTTGTGTCCTCTTCCAAGACACAGACGACCTCTTTAGTGATGACAGCGGCTCCAGAGGCTGTTGCAGCAGAAGTTCAGAGAAAGCCGCTCTCCGTACCCCTACTCCCCAGGTGTCCTCTATTTGAAGTCCACAGCTTCCAGCCAGCATCTGGGGAATAGTTTCTCCTCACCCTCGCTATCATATCAGCAGCCCAAGTCATCTGAGGCTGGACAATGGCAGGTGCATGCACACAGCGGCTCGGAGGCTGGACCATGCCTGGTCCCTGCATGTGGCCCTTGTACATCCATGCAGCATGAATGTGAACAGACCAAGGACCAGTCCTGAGAAACGTATACACACTACACACACTACACACACACACACACACACACACACACACAGAGAGAGAGAGAGAGAGAGAGAGAGAGAGAGAGAGAGAGAGAGAGAGAGAGATCAGCATCCACTTGGACACACTTGTTTTCTATGTAGCAATGAGTTCTTTCTTTGGTTTTCTATGTAGCAATGAGTTCTTTCTTTAGAGACGTCTAATGAATTATTTAAGGACAAAATGTCAGGGTATCTGTGATTTATTTTAAAATACTTCTGCATTTTAAAAAGTGCAAGGAGTTAAAAATACCAAAGTGACAGGAGCACCTGGTCCCTGAGCCCAGGTGATGAAGTCCCAGCATCCTGCTCCTCTATGCTAACTACTCAGGTGACCTGCCCCAGTGGCTGTCACAGAACAGTGCCCTTGGAGCCTGCTACAGATAAGAAGAGGCCAGAACCTCTAGGCAGACCAGGCTGGCCCCTCCCATTCACAGTTGGCCTTCTGCCTCTGCTTCCCAGGCCCTAGGGCTAAAGGCATCATGCTCAGTCCATCCCTGCATCTACCTCCTGGTGGCACTGATGGACAACACGCCCGCCCAAGGAGCTCCCGCCAAAGCCTGCAGGTGCAGCAGCCCTGAAGTTAGCGCTCACCAGAACTATGGAATTACTACATCTCCCACAAAATTTCCTAGGGGGTTTAAATCTCTTCTTTTGGCAAATTATGCATGAATATTAGTACGGGAAAGAAATACCTGATTTTCTCACCTCCTGCTTTTCTCAGCGAGCATTGCTGTGCTTCTGCCAGGGAGGCCAAGGGAGATGATGGGCCAGCCAGGCTTCCTCACTAAACCAACCCCGTTGTCGCTTTCTACCCCACAGCCCTCACCCGAGCCATCTTCGCTCTTTGCTCTGGGGTCATTCTGTCACCTGTGCCCAGTCCATGCCTGAACGGGATCCTGGATATAGCTAGATTCCAGCCTCCTCCCTACTGTCTCCTGCCTTCCTTCTCCTCCTACTTCTCCTCCCTGTCGGGCGTTAAGACGCCTGTAGTGTGTGATAGAATTTGCGACACTAGCCAGTGTTCACACACCTGTCCTCCCTGACAGCCTGTCTGTCTTTCTAGGGCAAGTGGATGAAACCAGGACCCGGGAAATGGCAGGGGACTTTGAGCAGACCACAGTTCCCCTCCACAACCCACCTGGGATTCAGAGGGGAAGCTAAGCAAGGAGGTGACAGAGAACCTGGGGGTTTCCTGAGGCTGCTGGGGACAAGCAGCTGAGCACCAAGGGTGCTCCTCGTGCGTGGAGGGGAGGCCTCCTGACCTCACCTCGCCTTCACCTGTTTCTTCAGAGAACACCCCTAGGCCTCCCACTTTCTCCAGCGAGGTCTCACGCCTGTCTCAATTCCTCCTCCTCAGACGTGCTCAGGTTCTGAGGAGCCAGTCCCAACTCTCGGGGACCACATCATTCCCTCAGCCCCTCACTCCTCACTCAAGAACTCAATGATAGGGGAGCCTGGTGGGGAGGACCTCTCTCCTGTTGCTTCATGTGGCCGGGGTGGGCACTGGACAACAGGTGCAGTCTGGGAAGAGGGACAGGCAGGACAGAGGAGGACGGGGCCCAAGAGGTTAGTCTGCTTTGGGCAGCCCAGCAGGCCTCTAACCTGAGGCCTGAGGAGACACAGATAAGCTAAGAACAAAGACAGTTCCTGAAATCAGTGCCCTGTGCACAAGAGAAGAGGGGCAAGTCCTCACACCTAGGCCGTCACCAGTCCCAAGCGCACAGCAGAAGCACACAACTCCCCCAGGGACTGCAGACTTGGGGTGAATCTCTGCTCTGCTGAGCTCCAAGGGGTGAGCTTGGGCACACCAACAGGATTTATGATGTTCCTTGCAGCCATCAGTATGCTGAGAATTATCCCTAGGTATCCCCTGAAGCAATGAGAGAAGTATTACCCACTTGACCCTGGGAAGGACTGGCCTAAGATCCAGGCAGCTCCCTCCAGAGTGCCAGGGACAAGGCCAGTGGCAGGGAGGGGCACCTGACAAACTGTCCTTTTGTGTGTAAGGGGAGTGTGATGGCTATTCTTGGTTGTCAGCGTGACTACATCTGGAATCGGCTAAGATTCGAAAATGGAGAGCACACCTGTGAGGGATTTTTGCTTGATTTGAAGTGGGTAGACCACGTCTAATCTGGATCTTGAGGTGGGAAGACAGGCCTCTGCTCTGGGCCACACCTCTGCTGGAGGCCCGTCTTAGACATGGAAGGAGGAAGCTGTTGCTCTTTCCCTGCCTGCTCTCACCTTGCTAGCAAGTCCATTCCTTCTCTGGCACAGAGCTACTTCTTCTGCATTGCAGCATCTACTGAAGACCAGCTGAGACATCCAGCCTCCTGGAGTGAGCAACTCCTGGATTCTTGGACTTTCTGTTCACAGTCAGTCACTTTTGGATTAGCTGGACCATAGCCTGTAAATCATCCTAACAAATCCCCGTTCTTTCTTTCTCTCTTTCTTTATTATTTATTTATTTATTGGTTTTTTGAGACAGGGTTTCTCTGTATTGTTTTGTAGCCTGTCCTGGAACTCACTCTGTAGACCAGGCTGGCCTTGAACTCACAGAGATCCATCTGCATGCCTCTGCCTCCTAAGTGCTGGGATTAAAGGCGTGCGCCACCAATACCCGGCAAATCTCCCTTCTTTAAATAGATTTCCCTGTGAGTTCTGCTGCTCTAGAGAACCCTGCCTAACACAGGGAGGGTGTGTGCTTGTGCACACGTGAGTATACCTGAGGAGGCCAGAAGCCAACCTCAAGTATCCTTCCCCGGGAGCCATGCACCTTGGTTCTCTTTTTCTCTTTGTGCATGTGTATGTGTGTGAATGCATGCACATATGTTTGAATGTATGTGGCTGCACATGTGTGTGTAAGTGTTCATACATACATGTGTATATGGAAGCCCAAAATCAATATTGGAGGCCTTCCTCAATTGCTCGGCACTTTAGTCATTGAGACAGGGTCTCTTGGTTGAATCTAGACCTCACCAGTTCCACTGTCTTGCTAGACAGCTTGCACTAGACATCCCCTGTCTCCACCTCCTCAGAATGGGATTATAAGTACACTCCACCACACCTGGCTTTTCATGTGGGTGCTGGGAATTG